CGTTGATCTCCCAGTAGCAGTGCTGGAAACAAGAAGAAATACTTGCCATGGCTTTAATGGAACCAGTGTCCATGTACTGAAGTTGCTAGTCAAGCCAACAATGAGGCCTTGCTGAATTAATAGCACCATGGGGGAAAGTCACAATCTGTATGAAAATCACATAGCCCTAACTGCTGGTGAGTGACTGAAGAAACCTAAGTAAACTGTTTTCTTGCCTTTATAAGCAGCTGCCAGTAAAATAAAAACCACAACCAGTGACTGATAACCTAATGACTAACTACCGTTTAGCTCCCAGAATGACAATGAAATCAAAGACATTTTTCAGTCAAGACACATCTTCTACACTACTAATAAATCCTTTCTGTACATTCTACAGCATCAGGCACAAAAAGCAGCAGTGGAAAAGTATTTTGAGCTCATATGCTATGGGTCCCTTCAAATTCAAAGACAATTTCTCTGCTAACAGGTGCTGGAAACTGCATAAACATCTTGCAGCTTTTGAAAAACTTGACCCATGTTTACAAAGCACAAATGCTCCCCAGGTCCTGAATTATTTAACTTGGATATGGGATCTTTTAATCGCCTTATAGCCATTGCTGACATTTATGCACACACACATCACTTCCAATGCTATAATGCTGGTACTTTGACAGGCTCTGTGTTCCCCTTTCTGTGTGCCTGTTTCAACATGCTTCAAGCTGTCAGTTTTTTCTAGTGCAAGCAGAGCCGAGCCCTGGATACTTCATATACTGACATGTTGAGGGAAACAACAGTTCCCAGGGAGACTAGGCACTGGAATGAGGATTACTTTTACTGTCTGTCCTGCAGTTCACACACAAGTACAGCTGGGCTGACAATATCTCTGGGCCTTTGCTCCAGTTACAAGAGGGGTCCTTATGTTGCCTTCAGCTCATCTTACACAAGAGTTAAGTCGGTGACTTCCGGTAACTACCCCTTGCTCCTCACTGCAAGAGATGCAGGCAGATGACATGCACGTGGAAAATATCTTCAGCTCTAATCAAGACATTTACCCACACCCAATTGACGTATCTGCTGTTTTCATGCCCTACTACTAGCTATTGAAGCAAATGCATGTTCACTGGAGAGACCAGACAGATCAATCTCCATGCAGGAAGAATGGAATTCTTCTTGTGTCCCTTCAGTTTCTTTTGAATTGTGAGCAGCTCTGTCACATTGCAGATACTCTGCTCAAAAATCCCCATGGTAAAGGCCACACTACAAGACTGTACCCAAGGAAAGGAATCCTGCAGCGCTGGGTTGGGCACTCTGGTAATTTACAGGCAAATAATGGACGGTTTTCAGGGCATACTCTAGGTTTAAAGGCAGCATATGATCAAGACTTTTCAAGCCAACACATTTTCATGATTTCCAAGCCTAACTGATTAACAGATAGGGATTTGGTTATAGAAGCCCTTCGCATTAGCACGTGTCAGATTAGCTAATGAATCAGCTTAATCTTTTCCTGTGTCCATCATCCTTTGTGAGACATGTTCAATAGGTACCCTTTGCCGTCTCCTTGTACATTCACACTCCTCTTTAAGTGTCTGTCCTGAGCCCCTTGAAGTCACCATGAGCTCCTTCTCTTGACAAACAGGACAGCAAGCTGTAAGACCTTTGCTGCAACAACTTGGACATGTCAGGACAAGCTGCCGGCAGTGCTGGCTGGAACAAAGTTTATACTGGTCCCACAGCGCCCCACAGTATCTGCATGCTGGAGGGAGGAGGAAAAGAGAAAGTTAACACCCATACTGCCCCAGCTGTTCCCCTTGCAGAGGGTTTGACATGGCACCAGGGGGCTGCCAGCTCTCCTTTAAGTGTCTATCTATTGTCTTCCACGTTTTTAATTCCCGTTTAGCTTGATCTCCTAGAATCTAGTCCATTTTTAAGCTTCTGATTTTGATGTAAAAAAGTCAGAACAGTTTTCTCTCAGGTAAAGAGGAAAGTGCTAACTAATGCTTCCTCTAGTTCTGAACAGACAGATTTAAAGATTCTTACTGGTAAGAGAAAAATTATAGATATGCAGGTGGTGGCTAAGCCAGTAGGCAGGAACGTTGCCTGCTGGGGAAGGGGGTGCCATGGAACTTCCTTCCACCTACAAGCAATGGCTTGTGCAGATGGGGTGTCATTTGCAGCCCTGGTAGAGTCCTTCCACAACATCAGAGGGTTTAACTCTTTAACTGAAAGCTACAGCCCCGTTTAGCTGTACCACCAAGAAGGTGCCTACCACAACACTTCCCCTTGCAACTTCTGTTGGGATGGCTGTGATGTATCCAGAGCGTGCTCTGTTTCTACACAGGCCCCTTAAAAAGACGTATACAGTAATTGCAGAGGAGGAAGAGGAGCTTATGCTAGAAAATTTACCAACCCTGAGAGAAAAACAGCACTGCTTCCTGAAAAAAAAAGGCTAGAGCCAAATTCCATCTATTTGTTCTACCTGGCAACTGACAGGAAGATAACAGATTATTTCATTTGTAGTAACTGAAGAGCAATCCCAGCCAGAAGACCAGGCAATGTTCTTAACAATTTCAACTGGAGGTTACCGAAATTCTACTGGCTACAGAAACTTTTTAAAGCTTGAAAATAACAAAGTGCTGTAGAGCATAGTGGCACCACTCTGCCAGTGCCTGGCAGTCTTTTGTTGATGTTCTGTGAGATTACTGGAGCAGAGAACTGCTGGCAGCAGGAGAACTATTTAAAACTTCAGTCAGTTGGCCAAGCAGTCTGATCAGCATTGTGGGCAACGACAGCAGTAGTGCTTGACATATATCTCCATAGGTGCAGATGGCTCGTAATAGCAGCTGTTCTGCAGGGGATACTTCCCTTTTACTGCTCCAGTTTTAGTGAACTCTTTTTAGTGACCCTCTTTTCTCTCACTTCTGTTTTATGTGTTACAGCCATAGAACTGATAGTCATCATGAAAAGTGACAGCACTAAAAGATCAAACCAAGTATGAGGAAGAACTACATAGACCAGTTTGATGTCCCTATCCTGCATGTCTCTGGAAATGATTGCAATAGCTTCCCAGCCATCTGCACTTACATTATCTAGTCCTACCTGAGATGATATCTTCATTGGAACAAATGGCGTAACGATCATCAAATACAAACAGCTTCCCCCTGTAGAATCCATCTGGAAATTCTTCCAGGTACTTGTGAATTCCACCTTTTAGCTGGTAAACCTCTCTGCACACTGCCTGTTTAAAGCATATTAGCAGAAAAGCTGAAGGAGACCGCAGCAGTGGTGGTGTGGCAGAGTTCCCAAAGCAAATGTTAAATGCCGGGGTCAGTGAAAAGCAGCAGCTTCTCAGTGACCACCATATGGCACCATGTGCACCCACAATGCTAGGCAGTGCCACCAGGGATTACTGGGCAGCTGCACAATGCTGGCTTGTTTACATGAACCCAATTGTGCATTTAATGTTACAGTCCAAAGAAGCTGGTAACCTCCTCACCCGAGGCAAGTTTGCTGCATCACAGATCAAATGTTTTTGAACCTCTGTGAACTGCTGTTTATTCTGGTTTTATGTAGTTAGGTGTTCGCAGAAGCAGAATTCCTCAGGGTTCACATTGATGCAGCAGAGAAAAAAAAAATCAAGGTTTAAATGTCTGGAGAACATTTATGTGTTCTGCTCCCTTGATCCTTGAGGGAAGGATCCAGGAGAAGAGTGGGATGAAAACCACAACTACAACAATGATGAGTGCTGGATGTAATTCTTTGACACTGGGAAAGCACTGACTGGCTGATTTTCACCACTCTGAGATGCTCAAGCTTTGCAGTAATGATCACAGAGCATAACCCAGACAGAGTCTGTGAAAATACTGCAGAATGTTCTCAAGCCCTCCTATAACACTCCTACAATGGACTTAAAATACCTCTTCTCAGCAAATGTGTTATATAATTATTTTCAAAAAGCACACACAGGACACTAGTCCACACAGAGCATACTGAGCTGCATTAAACGATCCATGTCCTTGACAGACAGCATGAGGCAAGCATGTGTCAGAGACCTTTATCTCCCCACTTGTGCATTAGGCAGTTTGTGCACAGTAAGAATTTACCAGCAAAAGAAAAGACAGGTGCCCTTAAAGCAGTCTCAACTCCCTGACACTGGTGGCCTCAGAAAGACATCTTACCTTGCTCCTTAGGTAAGCAGAGCCTCTTTCACAACGAATCCCTCCTGTGCAGTACATCAGAACACGCTTGTCTTTAAAAAGCTCCAGGTTTTCATCTACATAGCTTGGAAAATAGCTGAACTTCCTGATATCTGGAGCCAGACAGCCCTGAAAATGACCCTGCAATAACAAGAGATGGCCATGCAACTGGTTACAAGCAGTCTTATTGGTAAGGTCTGTGTCTCAAACTAGAGGAAGTAAGAAACCTTTGGGCCAGAACACTCAGCTCACTGCAGCCATTTTAGGCAGCTCCTCACCTGTATTAACCCCCCTGTTAAAATCTGTAGGATTCTGGAAACCCAGTATATCCAAACATAAAAGAGAGCTAAGCAGAACAGAACTGTCAGATAGGACAAGCCACAACAGCGTGGGAGATGTGGTGGTTCTGACAGCAGGATGCGCCTATTCTTTTTGACATATGGAACAAGGCAAAAAATGCTGAAAATCATCCTTACAGATAATGCTACTTTCGCTTCAAACTATTAGGTATTCACTGCTAATGTGGAATGGACCATTTTGTGTTCTTTGTGCCTCAAGCTGTATAAGCACATAGCTGGGCAGGCTCCACGCTGAGCTGCTGAGCAGGTCCTCTACTGCTTGTGTCTAATATTCATTACTAAAATGAACTCTGTACACATTACAGTCAATGTGGAATATGGAATCTCTTCTTCCGGTAAGATTACACACTCACAATGCTAAGTGCTTCACCCCAGCACACTGCAAGAAGCAGGCAAACAGCACTTACAATTTTACTTTCATAGAAGTTCCTACAGTCCAGCAAGATGGTATCACTTTGTCCTTGACTGGCCTGAGACAAATACTGTTCTACTTCTCTATGAAATTCCTGAGGGGATAAATGGATTCCTTTAACAACAACAACAAAGAAAAAAAAGGGTGGGGGGAAAAGAAGTAAGAAGCAGAACTACAAAACAATGTCACCTATGATCTCACTCATCCAGACCCTCCTCAAATCGTCAAACAAAAATTTTCTGTTGGTTCACAGACTTTCCATCCCAACTCCATCAGCCAAGTTTATTTCACTCTGCTAATCTGTCATTACACCTGGAGATGCAGAACCATACAGAAATACAATTCTTTAAACTTTAAACTCTTCTCAATAAAAATGGAAAATTTCC